CTCTCTCTTCCATAACAGACTACAGCTACATCAACCCTTTGCTTCTCTCAGACTATAAGAGATCTGTAGCCCTAAAGTTCAAGGCACTGGAAAAAAAATCAATTTTAACTAGATTATTCTGTATCTGCATAGTAACATTCTCATACATGTAATTTAAACACACACTAATCCTGGCCTTTGGAAGCCAGCTGCTATGGCCTGTCATCACCAGGGATATAGCCATTAACGTGTACTTCTTTACTTGTTAAAATCTTAACAGATCTTGACAACTAATTCAACAATTATCACCAGTCTTCAGCTTCTCCTTCTAGGGTAATAGTGCTGAATAGCAGGCTGTTACATAAGACATACTTGATTGCTGTTGATTTCCTAGTTCCTTGGCTGTCTGATGCTTGACAAGGGAATGGCACTAAAGCTGTCATTCTGGCCTTGAAGTCAGTAGTACATTATTGTGCTAATGGAAGCTTTCAAAATACTTTTGATTTTGTTACAAGATAATGACTTGTATAATGATCTGACAAGCATTCATGCACTGTGCTTGAGGTTCTGGTTCCTTCCTGAGCCCTAAGCATTCCTAGATTGCTCATCTTAGACTTTCCCTGTGAGGCCTCTCTCCAGGCAAAGGCTTATTCACATTCTCAGGAAAAGTGCAGATTGCCTCTATGATGTGGGGGTGAGGCAAAACATTGAATTGAATGCTTACAAAGAACATCCAAAAGCAGACCCAAAAAGCAGACCCAAAAGCAAATGGTGCATTTTGGGATAGCGCATTTTGGGGTTCCACCCCCTCAAATGTGAGGCAAACCCCACAACAGCTGCTGCCCCTCTCCCCCTGTGACATTAAAAGGGCCCTCCAGCTGATAAGCAGAGCACGTGGCCCACCAATCAGCTGGAGGAATCTTTAAATTTTGCAGCCACCCCTCTCCCTCCCCCCCTCTAAGATTTCAAGGGCCCTCCAGCTGATCAGTGGGCCCTTTAAATCTAGCAGGAGGTGAGGCAGAGGGGCGGCTGCCAGCTGCACGCCTTCCCTGAACTCCACGCGGCAATTTGGAGTTCAGGGAAGGCATGTGGCCGCTCCTCTCCCTCCTCCCCTGCTGCCCCACAAAATTTCCCCATGCCCCACCAAGTGAAAATTTCTGGCTGCGGGGCTAAGAGTCAAACTAAATGTGACTGTATCCTTTTAGCCACCATGAGGCTGCTGCCATTTTAAAATATACAAGGGCTTCATCCTGATTGGGCCTGCAGCACAGCACTCATTCTCCCCATGCCTTTTTGATTGCCAAAACAGTCATAGGGGGAACAAATGCACCACACTGCAAGCCCAATCAGTATCAGGTCCTCATGGTATTTCAAAATGCCTTTAAAATGGTAGCGGTGTCCCAGTGATGCCTACCGTGTGCTGGAAAAGCCCCTTAAATAACGAGTGCTGCAAGTTGTGCGTTGCCCCTAGAGGCTGTTGTCTTCTAGTGTTCTCAAAATAATAGTGATTAGAATGAATGCAAGGTGCTTTCAATGGATGTTACATTGATTGTAAGGTTACTGACCATGACAACTTTTTCTGCATCATTGTTGAAAATACGATGTCATCTATGGAATGCTCCATAGATGCTTGTTAGGTGAAGAGCAAGCAGCCTAGAATTAAATAATTACACAGGGAAGGATGAAACAATTAAATCCCTAGATTCTGAAACACTGATAACAGGGCCAATGCCAGGTTTTTTTGCACACTAGGTGAGGCTAGAGAGGTGATACAAAGGAAAAAAGTACAAACATGAAAACATGCATCTTTGGAAAGAGGGAAGAGGAAGCAGAGGATAAACTAAACGAAGTAATATACAGAGATTAATACAAAGCAAAAAAAAAGACATAGGTATAGATAAAATTGAAGAAGAAAAGAATGGCTGCACGATTCAATGAAAATGGAGGGAGCAGAGAAAAACTGTGAAGATCCAATGGAAAAACAATGACAAAAGTAACAGGAGAAAGAAAAATATTAAAACACAAGAATGAAGAATTAACATCACTGAGTGGGCCAAAAACATACTCAAAGGAGAGCTGAGGGCAACATGAGGGAAGACCAAATGCTGCAAAATGTTGTGTTCAGAAACAGGGAATCTCTCTCCTCTCCCATTTCCCCCCTTCCCTTCCTGCACCAGCCTCATACTCTTCCCCACTTAGAGTGCTCCAACATAAACTCCTCTAATCTGAAATTCCCCAGCGGCAATCAAAGTAAGGAGCTACCTCCCCCCTCCGCCGCCACCTCTCCTCGCTTCTCCGCCCCAAGTGACAAAGAAGCGAGCCGCCTCCACCTGACAGAGCCCGCGACTCTCCCTCCCGTTGTGCGGCCTAGCCAGAGCCCCCACCCACCACCCTCCCTCCTTCCCGCATGCGTGCCAAGATCAAGAGTTTAAATAAGGTGCCCCTGAAAGGAGACATCCATGCGAGGCAGACTGTGCCACTCCATTGAAAAAAAACCCTGCCAGGAGGAGATCAGCGAGGGCGCCACATTTACCTGGCTCGGAGAGGCACGAGGCCCCAAGCAGCTCCTACCTCCGAGGGAGTCCTCCCCGCGGGGTTCTCCTGCAGCGTCAGCCGGTAGCTCCTCCTCCTGCCATTGTTCCTAAGTGCCTGAGAGGCGAGGGGGGGCAGCAGGCAGGCAGGCCAGCGCAGCACCCTCCGAGGAGCACAGGGCAAGCGGAGAAGCAAGCCGAGGAGGGCTGGCAAGACAAGGCAAGGTGACTCAGGCGTGGGAGGGGAGGGGCGGCAGGCCGGCCAGCATGGCACCTCCCTCAAAGTGTGCGCCCTAGGTAACTACCTAAGTTGGGTCTATGGACGGTCCGGCCATGACTGGAAAAGGGAAATTGAGTCACTGTATGTCATAACTATAAAAAACAGAATTTCCTCATCAATGGTTTCAGATGAAACATTTATTCCAACAAAAGAAAATGAAAGTGTGACACAAATAAATTAGATTGAGAGAAATTCCATTGTGTTGTAAGCATATTCTACGATGTCTGGGAAGTGCTGACCAGTGCCAAAGCTCCACAGATGGTATGTATACATCTTCAGCAATTTTATTTGTTCAGTGCCTACTTCCAGAATATTATGGTTAAATTCCTTCACCCCCAAAGCAGACTAAAAGAGAAAAAAGAAAAAGAGGATCAAGGTCAGATCTCTAAGATATTATAAGCAGCAAAACATTGAAGACTACAAAAAAATTACTCTGCTGTGGAAGATCCCAATATGTACATAACTAAGCTAACAACCTGGGTATGATTGGTGAATCATTAAGACAAGACTAAAAGTCCAATTGTGCCAGTAGACTATCAGGGAGAATGCCTAGGCAAAGAACAGATAAGGATTTCTAAACCAAAAATTTTCACTACTTTTTCCTCTTACAGAATAATACCTTCATAGTCTATTCTGTTTTATATTTCTCAGTTTAAAGAAAACAAAGCAAAGCAGCCAAACCCAACTTCAATAAGGAAAGTCTTACAATTTCCTTAGTTTATAAAGGAGGGATATAGAGGATGACTTGCTTCACCAAGAAGTCTTAGTCACTCCATTTTCCAGAAATATTTTGCCACCATACCCATTGGATGAATTGAAGCATGTTAACAAGAGCAATGTTAGAGCTTACTAAAAACATTTTAACAACATTGGAAAAGCATCTACTTGAGTGTAAGATTCTGGCACACTGAACTTGTCATTACACAGAAGTTTCTACCACTGTTATAGTAAGCTAATGCTGCCAGTATAATGGGAAAGAGAAGGATGATTTTGCTACACATGGGCTCAAGGGGAGCAACCACAACTCTGAGTCAATTGCCTTCACACTTCCAGTTAACCCCAACTTGTTTCCTCTGGCTGGGGGGGTGGGGGGTTTCATACTTGTCAGCTATCACTAAAAGGGTAGAGAGCATGGAATGAGTACTCCTCTCACTCCAGAAAACCAGAATACATGTAATGGAAGCCTGCCTCATTCCCTCTTTCCGCTTCTGAGAACTGCATGGAGGCCAGTTTCCTCTCAGTGGGCTGTAAAGAAAGAGTGTGTACCCATGCCTGCACATTACGTGATAGGGAAGACCTCTTAGATTCCATATCCTCAGGAGCAAGCGTAAAGTCATGAAATGTAAGGGGTCCTCCCTATCACAGAATATGCAGGCATGATTACACTCCTTTCTCTTCCCACAGTGACTAACAATATCACAAAAATATTCCCTCCTTCCTTCTCTATCTTGTTTTCTTTTTGAGGCTAGTAGAGTGACATTTTCAACGAATTAAGTACTAACTATAAATTTGTGAGATACAATAAACTAATATTTTGATACAGAGTTCAACAGCACATATCCTTCCAGATATAGCAATCCAGGTCAGTAGTAGTGGCTGGCAATTCCAACCTCTAAGATGTTATAGAAAAGTAGTTACCATGGCTAAACTCTTACTGTAGAAATCAGTGTTTGTGATCATTTTATTCCTTTCCATGAAGTTGGTTTAGTAATCATGAACTCGAGATAGGTATAGATTCTCAACTGTCTTATTACATTTCATATTCATGTAATGATTCCTTTTCCATAAGCAGCAATGACTATTAACCTTAAACATATCATATAGGCAAAACTTTCAGGAATATGATAAAACATAAGATCAATTAATTAATCACATGCAGTTAAAGAAAATAATGGCATTTAATGTGACAGTTTAATTACAGGATTCTAAATAATACTCAGAAACTAACAGAGAGTAGAATATTGAATAATACACTGTAATAAAATGTCAGCTCTCCTGAGCATCTTTAAAATAAAGCATCACAATAGGGTTCCCAAGTACCTACCTACGATGTGTAGGTAGGTACTTCCCAAGTACCTACCTACACATGCTTCCCCGCCGGAAGATTCTTGCTTGGAACACAGGTGCTGCACTATTCCATTGCCCAGACGTGACGTAGGCACGTAGCTGGGCAATGCTCTGGTAATGGGACCGGAAACTCGATGGTACCATGCCTGGAAATCATGGTGAATTCTGGAGACCCCTACAGGGGTTTGGATGTTTTCAGAGAGGTGGCTTGATTGCCTGCCTCTACGTCCTGAGCCCTGGTATTCCTCGAAAGTCTCCCTTCCAATTACTTTCTGGGGTCAGCCCTGCTTAGCTTCCGAGATCTGACGAGATCAAGCTTGCTTGGGCTATCCAGGTCAGGGCACTGAACAAAAATCTTGATACAGTAATGTCAGTGATCAATCCTGGCGTATACATTACTCAACAATGTCCAGAACATAATTTGCCTGATGTCACTCACATGTATACCAGTGCCATCCTAAGTAGAGTTGCGCCTTTCTAAGCTCCACTGACTTGGCTTAGAATTTCGCTGGGAGGGCAGGGTATAAATACGAATAATAAATAAATAAATACAACCATCTTCTGGTAACCACATTTCACCTCCTTTCTTTTAGCGCTCATTGATTCAGCATAAGTATTAAGAGACAAACACATACCTTAAAAGGGTTGGTTCTGGCATTCCAGGGTCTGCACCTCTCTTAAAGCCTGAAGGCAGAAAAATAATATGTCAATTTATGTCTATTGTCTTTTACATAACACCAAATATTTATAGATGGTATTCATATACATATATATGTACACTGATGATTAACAACAAACAATATTACGGCTTAGAGAAATGCAACATCCCCCACTATTCCCCCCCCAATACATTAAAGTGCAGAAGCCCATCCCATTGTTGCTTTACGACAGCCCACATCCCCCACCATGGGGGCTTAAATGGGAACAAAGGATGCATAACTAAAGTCCCATCTGACATCCAGCTAGTCATTCCTTCATGGCAAGGCATCTATTGCACACCAAACCCAGGAAGAAGCAGGCTCCGTTCTTGCTAATGGAAGAATGGGTGACTACTCAAGCAGCAGTAATAAGCTTGGACTGTTTCCTTAACGAATCAAATAAATTATTGACTAGTGCAATGAAAAACGATCTTATGAATGATGCTCTACAGGGCAGGATCATTGTGCCCTGGACATTTAGCAGCACCATTGATACATTTATACTGAAAGCTACCTTGTTCACAAAGCAGCACAAAGAGGAAGTCAGACTGCTAACAAAAATTTCCTCTACCAGTAGTCATGTGAAAATACAGGGAATAGAAGTTCTTTGCTAAATGAATCCACCAAGACCTGGGAAAACCCCTGTAACAAACCCTTTGAAATTCTGCTGCCAGTGTCAGGAAGCTTGGTAACTTCCAAGCACCAAGTAAACTTCCTTCCACCAAAAATGAAATAACACATCTACTGAATAAGCAATTTTAATAATTTTAACCTATGTGTTATGTTAGTGCGTCTAGCTGTTCATATATTTGTGGCACAGAAATTGAAGAACTTATTGTTGATAACACACTTCAGTCAGACCTACAGAAAATAATAAGGCTTTATTTGGCTTTTACTCGTCTCCTATTTCAGCCATACACAATGGGAATATGCCTAACTTAGACATAAATTATACTGTGCCAGAAATACTATATAAATACTAAAAATAGGTTTGATTTTAAGCAGGTTCTTTCACTCCTCCAGGAAGATATTTTCAACACCTCTGACAGCACTCCTTTGAAAAGAATATCTAAAATTCATCCTAAATAATCTATTTTAAACATGATGGCTTTTGTTAAAAATCTGACAAGATAATTCTAATTCTACAAGACACAAGAACAAGATTCTGACCTCCGGAACTGGTAAATCAGAAGCTATTTTACACTGCAATCCTAAACAGGGTTACATCCAAATCCATTTAAGTCTATAACCTTAGATGGGTATAACTCTGGTTAGAATCTCACTGCCAAAGTCCTACAAGGTAAACAACAGCATTTGACAAAAATATCCAGAAGGAAAAAACAATTTCTATCCTTATAATCATGTGATGAATCAACTGGATGGTTTAAAAAAATCAATGAGGCCTCCCCACTAACCTGGGAGGAAGCCTCACTGATCTCAACGACTTGGCATTGCCCTTCTTTGGGATTGGAATGTAACTGACCTTTTCCAATCCTGTGGCCACTGTTGCATTTTCCAAATTTGCCGGCATATGGAGTGCAGCATTTTAACAGCATCATCTTTTAGGACTTTGAATAGCTCACCTGGGATACAGGCTCTAACAATTTTAGTGGGCTCTGTTGGATAGGTAATTTGTGACAGAATAAAAGAGAAACTGATGGACAGTATTTCTGTTTGTGGAACCCTGGGGCAGTGGCTTTCCCATGCTTTTGTTGTTGTTGTTCCTAGTCCACTACATGAATACACAGGATAATTAAAATTGAAGTCCAGTAGCAACTCAAAAAATGAACAAAATTTCCCAGGATATGTTTTTGTGACTCAAAGCTCACTTTGTCAATACAGAATAATTAAAACACAACTAGTTGTATTAAACTGTCCTAAATGTGTCTATGGACTGCATTATTTCAGGCATGGCAACGGTTTTGAGAACTTCCTTACATTAAGAATCACACTGCAAGTAAGACATCAGTCAATCAGGGAGAAATGTCCCAAATCAGCTGACGCCTTAATTTTGTTAATTTTGGACAAGATTCCAAACACTGGAGCAGGGAGGCGTTACCCCAGTGAGCCATAAAGCTCATTGGGTGACCTTGGGCCAATCACTCTCTCTTCGCCTAATCTGCCGCACAGGGTTGTTGTGAAGATAAAACGGAGAATGATGCATGCTACCGTGAGCTCCTGGAGTTAAACTGTCCTAAATGTGTACTATGGACTGCATTATTTAAGGTGGTTTTGACAACTTCCTTACATTAAGAATCACACTGCAAGTAAGACATCAGTCAATCAGGGAGAAATGTCCCAAGTCAGCTCACGCCGTAATTTTGTTAATTTTGGACAAGATTCCAAATTCACAACACTGGAGCAGGGGGCAGTTACCCCAGTGAGCCATAAAGCTCATTGGGTGACCTTGGGCCAATCACTCTCTCTTCGCCTAATCTGCCGCACAGGGTTGTTGTGAAGATAAAACGGAGAATGATGCATGCTACCGTGAGCTCCTGGAGGAAGGGTAGAATATAAACATGATAAATGCATACATTTAGATTGAGGAAATAGACGTGAGAAGGGATGAAACTGTTAGAACGTCAGCCGAGGACCTGGGAGATCCAGGCTTTGACTCTCTTTCTGTCTCGGAAGCTCGCTGGGTGCCCTTGGGTTAGTCCCTAAGTCTTGGGCCCACCTACCCCACAGGGTTCTGTTGTAAGCATAGAATGGAAGAGGGGAGAACGATTTTCTAAAACATTTTTTGTCCCCACTGAGGTGAAAAGACGTTCTACGTGACCAACGACGGCTATGCTGGCATCAACGGAAAGAAGAAAAACTCCCACGTGATCCTTCAAGCCGCCCCGCCATGTGGTGCCCCCTCCCGTTCACTGCGTCACAATCGCCACCGATTGCGTTAGGCAGTTAACGAAACACCAACGGTTGGGACACAGAGCTTAGACCGCCTGTGTCCCAACCGGACCGCCTCAAGCTTGTGTCCTCCACCTCAGCACTGACCTAGATAGAGCACGACGGGGATAAAGCCCCACCGGATAGCGAACTGGCCGCCTTTGAAGAGATGTTGCAGCCGCTGCTTTGCCTCTTTACTCAGCTTCGGCATGGCGACGGCGATGCCGCAGATGCGGAGACGGGAAGGAAAAGGCTTTCATCATCGCGCTCTTTAAAGGCACTTCCTGTCTGAACCTCAACGGGGTTTCCACTCTGAACTTCCACCTCAGTTTATAGGCCACTCTCGCCATAGAGCTGGCATACGGATAGAGAGATACCTCCTAGCACCCATAGAGAATTGCGGAAGTTCAAGCTATGCGTCACTCTAGTCGTCTCTCCTTGGGTAGCTCCTGACGCTTGGAGAGATCCTGGAACTTAGTCGTTGAGTAAACGGTGCGGTGGCTCAAGTGGTTAAGACGCTGAACTGCAGGCTGTAGAAGGTCAGTAGTTCGAGACCTGGGTGCCGCATGATGGAGTGAGCTCCCATCTCTAGTTCCAGCTCCTGCCAACCTAGCAGTTCGAAAGCAAGAAATTGCAAGTAGATAAATAGGTACTGCTTCGGTGGGAAGGTAACAGCGTTCCGTGCGCCTTGGTGTTTAGTCATGCCGGCCACATGACCACGGAAACGTCTTCGGACAGCGCTGGCTCTTCGGCTTTGAAACGGAGATGAGCACCGCAACCCTAGAGTCGGATTCGACTGGCTTTCGAGCAAGGGAACCTTTACCTAAACGGTAGAAACTTCTAGAGGAGGAGTCAAAGTCTGGCGTTACCTTTCCCTGAAAGCCTATGACCTTAGACGGCTCTACAGAGGCTCGTACGTAGTCGCCCCAGAGCTCCCTCTGTGGGTCGTCACTCTTGAAGAGCGAAAATTGGGCTTAACGGCTTTCAGTGCACGCAAGTGGTAACTCCACACGTTAAGCCCTATAGGTAAACGCTTTAACACTTGAACCTGCCGTTACGGCTTCATATGTTTGTGTCGCTTCCGGATAAAATAACGTGATTTTCTCAGATAGTTTAAACCTCTGACAGGATACCCCGACTCACATAAGATCAGTCGTCTGTTCCCGCCAGTGAGCAATCAGGAGCTTTTGGAAAGTACGCTATAGGTCATGAAAACCACTCTGCCATTGTTTGTACCCAGCATGCAGAGGTATGGTGCCTAGCTAACTTGGCTAATAGCAGCTTTTTATTCTCTGTTAAGCTTCTCATTTTTAAGGCCTCTATACTAGTGGGTGTATTGATCATTGTAGTGAATTATATAAACTAATGTTGGACGGTAATGCTTTGTTTTGAAATTAGTGCCCATTGTGAATCCTCAGTTTTGATACTAAACATAACAAAATAAACATAACCTCTCTACACCCTTTGTTATTTTATAAATGCACCCTTTTGTCATAAATGTCACCCTTTTGTTAACTAAATGTTGCAGTCCTATTTTTTCTGAATTGAAAAAATATCAAACTTTTAAGCTTTACTAATAATGAATCTCTGAATCCTTTAGTCTCTTTAGTAGCCCTTTTCAAACACTAATACCTTTTTTGAAATGAGGCAATCAGAACTTTGTAATAATGATTTACTGTGCTGCTCAATGTGGCTCAATCATAGATTATACAAAAGGCATTCTAACGCTTGTCATTTTCTATTTCTTACCCTCCCCACTTGGCAGAGGTCCATCAGTGGCTATTAGCCACAAGGTATAGATAGGGGCTCTGGGGCAAGTGATGCTCTGTCTTCTTGATGCTTGGGGGGGGGGTTCAACAGTGGGAGGGCTTCTAATGTCCTGGCCCCACTGGTGGACCACTGGTATTTCTGGCCCCTGTGTGGCACAGAGTGTTGGACTGGATGGGCCTTTGGCCTGATCCAACATTGGCGTCTCTTATGTTCTTATGTTCTTAATTGAGATTTTCATTAAAGTATGACCCACAAGACAGAGTAGCCATTTCAGACTCTACCACTGTATATCTAATATAGGGGTGGGTTTTTTTTATCCCATTGTTCATTACTTTTGATTTATTTACATTGAGTCTCATTTATCACTTGCTATCCATTCAGCCGGGCTAGAGTATTTCTTGGGTGCTCATCACAGCCCTAGCTGGGGAAATGACTAAATCCTTCAATTTCTCCCCACCCATCTCTGTAGTGAAGCTAATTTTTTATATATATAATTTTCCATTGCTTTTTTACTACAAAACTACAAAGGGAAAGGGAAATACAGGATAACACTAACCAATAACACAAACATATAGCAAGGATCATCATACCTATAAGATTCTTAAAGCCATTTCTATCATTGTCGATATCAAGGAAAGAGAAAAATACAGGAATAAAACTGGCTGCCCTATTTTAAGATTAATAAAGCTAAAACAAACTCATTTAGCCAAATTGAGTACATAATAGTTTCAAATACAAAATAACCTTTCAGAGTTTCATTACATGCATTAATTATCTCCTGTGTTTATTCTTATCATATTTCAGTTGGACTTTAAGAGTTTTAGGAGCGGCTCCTTTTTCAGAGTCAGATTCTTCGGAGGAACTGTCAGGAATAGATATGCTGTCTTCAAACTCATGATCGCTCTTTTCTGTTTGTCCTCTGTTTTCCCTTTATCTTTAGACGTTGTTTGTTGCTGTTCCAAGAACATCTTTGCTTTTTGGGCAGAGTCAGTCTTCTCTTTTCTGCCATTATAGTTGAAAATAAGGCCTTCTGGAACTGTCCTATCTGAATGGAGTGGTTATGTAAAAACGATGTTAAGATTTTATATTGCTGTCTCCTCTTCCGTATCTCAAATGGAATATCTTTTAAGATCTTCGCTTCTTTGCCTTTGATTTTCAGGGATTTCCCATTTGTCGCTTTCAAAATGACATCTCTAGTAGATCTTCTGGATAATTTAACAAATATTTCACCAGGCAGTTTATTTTTCTTAATGAAGTCTGGATAGGTTCGATAAACCATATCCATGTCGCTTTGTAGACAATCCGCTTTAAAATCTGTCACTGGTGTCAATGCTTCGCTCAATAACGCCTTTAAATTCTCCCCTTTCTATTCTGGGATACCTTGAAATCACAAGACATACGATGATTTCTCCATTTGTAGCTTTAACAATTGCTCTTTGTCGGAGATCCGCTCTTTTTCCACAGCCTCCAATCTCTTTTTAATAGAATTTGCCTTAGCATCAACTTGTTTCACAGCTTTGTCAGTTTCGTCTGCCCTTTTAACTGTATCCACCAATTGTTTCTGGAGACAGTCAAGCTTATTATTGATATTAGTCATCTGGTCCAACAGAGGGCACAATGCTGTAGCCATCATGCTTGGGAAGTCAGCAATTGCTTCCAGTTTATGAGACAAGGTCACTGAGCTGGTAGTTCCTGGAGAAGGTCTTTTTTTTAAGTGCCATTTTGTCTCCTCATCGACATTGTTTATACAAGGTATAGTCCATTTAAACCACTGCTTCTCAAAGTGGTCCATACCGCCCCCTGGGGGCGCTTGAACGATCCAGGGGGGCGGTAGGAGCCTTGGGTGAAATTGGGGAGCGCTGGAATGATCCAAGTAGAGAGGCCATCACTTTCATGGAAGGTAGCAGGAGTGGACTTAACAGACGACTGTTTCTTAAATGGACAGTTCTATGTGGCCTGTTTTAGAGTGAGCTCATCAAGCAGCCTGGTGATCCTAGCACCTGAGGGCAGAACCACCAATGTGGTCTAGAGAGAGGTCCTTCGGTAGAGAGAAAAAAAGTATGTATGTCTCACTTCATTTCTTACACTACAATCTTCTCCGTTAGAATTCCTACAACAAATGTCACATCTCAAACTTCACATCATCAGTATTATAACTGGATTTATGGAACTTAAATAACCGTAGCGAAGCACGGGTAGCAGGCTAGTCTACAAATATATATGAGCTGGATCCAGGTGGGCAGCCGTGTTGGTCTGAAGCTGTAATACAAAATTAGAGTCCACTGGCACCTTTAAGACCAACAAAGACTTATTCAAAGACTTATTATTGCTTTTGTGTGCAAGGCACACTTTTTCAAATACATTGGAATGGTGTGTAAGGTTCAAACTTATAGACAGGGAAATTAACATGTAACATGATGATGTTTAAGATATGCAGAGTCCAAAATAACAAGCTAAGGTTATAAGGTCAACAGCTATAAAGCAATAAATATGTCCAAATAGCAGATAAATGTTCAAAGGTGTCTTTTCTAATTGTGGGAAGCAAACCAAGAATCTCCATTCTGTCCTCCCAGGCATGAAGATGACTTAACAACACTTTTTGAGGTGGATGCAGGGTCATGTTAGCAAAACATCCCAATATTCCTGCCAATACATTCAGTATTCTAATATACTATTCTGAAAAAGAAAAACACTAAAATACAGAGGATTTAAAATCCTTGTTAAGAATACATATGTGAGGACTGAATGAGTTAGTATATGTAACAAGATAAGAAACCAATATCCCTGTTGAGTCCTGGGGAGGTTTTTGTTCCAAGTGTTGTAATAACCTGTAATTCAGCAATATTCTCAACAAGGATGTAATGTCAGGAATATTGGGATGTTTTGCTGACATGACCCTGCATCCACATATTTAAAGGTACCACTGGACTCTATAATTGTATATATGAGCTGTCGTAACATAACTTGCAATGTAAAATACTTGTTTAGTTTAGTGAAAATGGCATATTCCACTTGATTTCAATTATTATTAACACCTTTCTTTCTACAGGCTGTATGAATTACAGGTTAAATTAAGACAAATATTTTCTTGTAAGAAGGTATTTTAAACCAAGATAATTTAATTTATAGTCTGCCTTTCTCACTCAGACACAAGGTGGATTGCAAAAATTTTAAACAAATGCAGTTGGAAAAGTATGATTCAAGTGGGGGATCCACAAGGACTTGCAGGGCATCTCATGTCCCCTTCCTTAACTATTTTCTCCTTTTCCTTCCCTGAAAGCCCCTATAGTCTCTCCTCTTTTATTGCTTTCTTCTTTCCACCCACCAGTTGACCTACCTTATCTGCCCAATAGCTTCTGTTTCTCCTCCTTTCCTCTAAGCGTCTACCTGGAAAAACTGTGGCCCAATTGTGCTGTGAGAAACCTGCAATGACTTATGGAGGCATCTCATTTCCCTCGCTATCCTCTTCCCCGTGCTATTTCCTCCTTTCCTTCTCTTGGCAACCCCTATATATTCTCCTTTCCGCTCACCAACCAACTCT